TTGTTTAATACCATTTATGGAATAGAAAATGAACAACACGAAAGTGAGAACTAATATTCTCATGAAGGTCTTGAAGTAACAATATAATAATGTATGCTTCTATAAAAATTAAATTTAGAGTTCATAATAATGTGATTATCTATTGTATACTTAAAATAAAAAAATTTACAGCCATTGAAAATTATTAATTTTTTTTTTTTTACCTAAATTAGGTATAATTAGTGTTTGATATTAATTACAAGTGCAACATTCTAGCACTTTAACAATGCATATAATTTCGTATAGTTATACGCTTCATATGTTATGCATAAGTTTACAATATTAATTTGTCCGTTTAGTAAATCCTAATGTTCAGCAAAAAAAGGAAAAAAAAAACCGAAAATTCCTTTTATCAATAACAACATAGTTATTTGATAGTAAAGAATTCTCTCGGTAAAAACAGTTTAACCATCAATTTTGAATTCGTGTTGTTAATAATACAATGTTTATGCATTAAAAATTAAATAACCTCATTTTTAATTTTAGGTCAACTCGAATGATCATAGTAATTTTGTCAGAATTTCTATTAAATAACCTACGCCCGAATATTGATTACACTTTTTGTTAAATTAATTAAATTAATATTAATTGAAGTGTGACTAAATAAACATTAGAAGAACAAGCTATAAACCAATGATAATCGTAATTGAATTTCCAGGTGAAATCTTTTAGCAGATCATCGTTAGATATAAATAAGGTTTTGTTTTGGAATGTTCATTTTGCTTTTTTCCCCTACATTTATATCCACGTCGAAAGTGATAATCGATCAGCAGTGTTTACCGGGCTCGTGATAGAAATCGGCAGAGGTAGCAGCACGTATATATATAGCGTGTACACGAGAAGCTATCAATTTTCTATATAAGAAGATCTGACTCTCTTCAGACTGGTCAACACTTAACGTACCGGACAGTTTAATGACCTCTCTTTCCTTTTGCCTTTTGGTATAATTGGAAAACTTTCATTTCAAGTAGTTAGATTATTTTTTTTTCTGATCGCAGTGAAAATGAAAGTAATATAGGCAAATACTATGTATATTAAACAAAAAAATTTAACGTGCGCTGATTGATAACCTCAACTTCAAATGCACTACTAAATAATAATTATGGGTAAGTAAAGTTCCCATTAAGACGGCCGTAATGCAATATTACTCATTATACTCATGCGTGTACACTATATATGTTATAAAGATTATATCATTAAAGCTCGATGAATATTAAAATATTTCGTTCCCCATTAACGGATTACTAAAACGATTTCTGTTGTATGGTAAAGTTTTTACATACGATGGATAAGTATAAAATAAAATATAACAACGGTGCGCATTTCCGTACGAATCGAAAGAAGAAAAAAACACAACTTAGAAAATGTATTTCGCTTAAATCCAAACGTTTATAATATTATTATCACAATCGTTATGCTACCTAGATTTCTCTTGCGATGTTTAATAGTATTCCCAGTGGCCAACAGTATATTAAGGAAACAACACACGAGTTAATGTTCAATCTATTTCAAAATGATTCACGCATTTCAATAAAATTATGTAGGTACAAGAAATGAAAATCGTTTGACACAGCTATTGTTTGATAAAAAAAAAATGTAGAACTTTTTTTCTATTTCTAGTCGAATGTGCCATCATTACCATAGTCGGCATGATTAGATAAACAGACGATATCTTATATTTTTGAATTCTTGTTCCAATTCCTGTTTATAAATTACTTACATTCAATGTATTTTATTCGCTTATTTGTAACTTGAAATACGGTTATTGCGAATAACATGAATTGATATAGTAAGACACGCGTCTAGCGTGAAACCAATTAAAGAACTGAAATCATACGTTTTAGTGCAGTAACCTAAATAAATGTATTTTTACATGCCTAGGCACCGTAAGAAAAACTCAAAAAGTTTTAGAACCACTGTTTACAGTTCAATTTTTCGATACTTAAACGAATTTTCAAGCTTTGCACTATTAATAATTATGACATGTAAATGTAAAAATAATTAAAGTTTCAATATAACAGAATTCAATTTGAAAAACACGATTTTGAAAAAGTTTAAATTGACGTATTTAGTTTTAATCCAAACGTTTATAATATGATTCCAATTCATTTAAAATTCATAATGCTCGATATTTTTGTACAGAGAAATAATAACAAGACTCTTTAATTTTTAATGATTAAAATTTAACATATTTTGAATATAGGTACAATATTCAGTTGCAAGCCAAATGTTATGTATTATGATTTAATGCACTCTGTATTTACATCAAAGATGTAGTAATTTTACGAACGCTTTAAATGCTAAGTTAGAAATTATATTCTGAGATCAGTTTTCGAATGAAAAACGTTGTCATCTGAATTAATTAGTTATATTCAGAACATTTTTTCTTTCTTTGTAGTAGCAGTACTTTATAGCTCGATACAATTTATTTTCATGATTATCGTTCTGTTTTTTTAGTGAAAATACTCGTATATAATCGTAAATATAATGATTTCACACTGAAGAATAATGTTGTTTACTACTCGGAATGCTATTAAAAAGAAACACATATATGTAATATGAACAAGTTATTCTTAGATCTACAAATTTGAACACAATATAATTATATTTTTTATTGTAAATAATGTTATGCATTTTTATAGTCAATGTTGACATTGTTTCTAAGAAAATTATGCTTTTACAAATATATTGATCTAAGGTACAAATAATTTTGAATAAAATTATAAACTTATTATTAACATCAGTTATTCAAGGTTACAATATACCTTCTAGTAACAACAACTACATATTTTAAAATTAAAAATTACTTTTTAGTGTTGAAATACCGATAAACGATTTTAACAAACCAAAATTCTAGTAAATATTTAGAAATTAACCTAAATTAATATAAATATCGTATTACGATATAAAATTTAAATTTCATCTTTGTAGTTAATTTAAAATTGAGAACCAATCATTAGTGTTCCAGTTAATTTTTTTTGTAGACTTGTAGTTTATAAACACTACTTGTATATATTTGTAAAGTCAAGACACATACTTTTCATTTTTTTGCAAATATTTTTGTTAATTCTTATTTGCAAATTTTATCAATACTGATATATTTTTATTTATTAATATTATTATACAACGATATTGTTATATGTACAATTCTCATGTTTATGTAAAGTATTGTATAATCAAACAAGTTTTAATATCTTATTTGAAAACTTAACTACTCATGTGTATTTATACATGTATGTATACATATAATATTTATATATATAATGTGTATTTATTCATGTCATTTATATGAAATTTCAGATAAATAAATGCCAAACAAAATCCAAATAAATTACTCAAATGTGAATATAAACGTGTCGATGCCAGCATAAAAATTAATACCAACGCGGTTTGATTTAATAATTTAACGAGGAAGTATTTTTGAAATAATCGATTTAATGCACTATAATTACACGATAACAGGTTATATTATAAGTTATAACGATAATATGGCTGTAATTAGGCTTCACATGATTTTGTTTTAGACAATGGAAAGGTTCAACAGAGGATGAAAAAATCGAGCGACTTAATTTTTATCACATTTTTTTTTTTTTTTTTATCGAATTTCTTTTTCTATTCTAAAAAATGTTTTTCGGTTGTTGTATAAAAACGGTTAATTTTACCAAAGACATATATTAAAAAAAAAAAAAAAAAAGGAGAAAATATCACGAAAATAAAAAAAAAAAAACCATTAAAACGTTATGAATATATTATAGTACAGTTTATCATGTTGAGTATCATAATATTATTAATATCTTGCCGAATAAAAATAAAAAATTAATGAATAATTTAACTTTCTAATGAGAATAGATTTCAGTCAACAAAATCGATTTCCGACAAATGTGACATACCCGTTGTAACACTTCGATTGGTTAACGAAATCAAAACATGGAGTGCACGTAGAATATTGCACTAGTGTTGGAGCGTTACATTCTCGTGCGCAGAGATTACACACGGTGTGCGCAGCCGTCAGCTCTTTCGTACGGTTTGCGGTCGTGTTTACTGGAGGCCATTGGCCGGAATGCGTAGGTACGAGCGAATCGATTAGGATGGCAAGAAATACGAATGTTTCATCGCGTTCCGGGGCAATTTCTCGATCGCTAAACTATATCGGCTCGCGTTCGTTTTCGGGTGCGAACGTCATCAACGGAACGCGGATACATTTACGGGATCCTCCGGTGGGAACCAACGGCCGCGGGATTTTTTTTCGAGAGATCGGACGGGCAGTGGTCGTCCGCGCGGGCATTGATCGGCGAACAACAAAAAGTCGCAGACAATATTTCCACCGTAACAATGGGGTACAATGCGGACCGAACGGTTTGATATTCCATCCGCCCATTGTTCGGCTTCGGGCGCGCTCGCGGACGGCTCGCTGGCCGTACTGTGCGCGCAGCGGACACCACACACCAACGGCCCGGGATTATCAAATTTTTTTTTTTTTATCTATACGCACTACGTTCCGAGCAACCGTTGACGCGGTCAAAGATAGTATTCTGAATATCGATTAAAACGTGTCACGGAAATGATGTAATTCTTTTCCTGCGCGATTCGTTCGAGCACGGTATCCGCCGGTTCTCGTGAGAATTCGTTGACTAATGTTTTCAAACGCTGTTGGTGCTACGAACCAACTACTCTTGTACTCACACGGGTTGCGTCATGCGGCGCTCAGACACGAACGCGCCCGGGGTTATGATATGTACCTGTTGTACGGCGAACAGATTTGTTCGATATTTCGTTGACGACCGGCCCGGTATACATGCTTATCGTTCGGCTGTACGGGTGCTCGTTGTGCACGCTTTCTTCCGGAACGTAACGCTGACGGAAATGAGCGCTCGCGGCGGCCGGACGAATCGTACACGATATCGGTCATGATGACGATAACGTTAACGTAATCGTACGCGCAGACGTATGAAACAACTCACTTGTATCTGATTCCTCCTGACTTCGTAGTACACCCAGTTGTCGGTGGAAAAAGCGATGGCCAGCAAAGCCGTGGCCACGATGGCCGTGATGGTGGCCAGTGAAAGGGTTACCGCGGAACAAGGCATGTTTGTAAGCGGCTTTTCGCGCCCGTCGACGATGTTAAAATACGATAACGATTATCGTTCTACTGCTACCAAGGATCGCACTCGTACAGCACACGGCGTTCTCTGGAAAGGATTCGATTTCGACGGGGAAAGATATTAACGCATTTTCGAAAAAACCGTTCGGTTGATAATCCGCTTTCGGATGGAAAACACAAAGAAAACAACACCGACACTCGCGAGCTACGACGAGAATACACCGCGCACGCACGTACACAATAATACACTCACCGACGTACACACACGCACACGCACACGGCAGACAGACCTACCGACTCGAACAACTGCAGTGAAGTCGAGAGTTCGGTGCGTGCGCGGTGTATACGATTCCTTGACGGTCCTCCCCCACCACGGACATGTTCCTCTCTCCGACACTACCTCCCACTCCACCACCTGCACCGGTTCATCGCAGCCGTCGTCAGCGGCGGCGGCGGCGGTGGCAGGTTGGTTTTCGTGTCGGTTTTACATATTAAATCCACCTGTAGCGCAGGGATGCAATCACTACACCGCGACCACAACGTCTTGGCCGAGGAATTATACGAAATATCATGAACAATATTCTTTTCCTCCTTTTTCGTCCACCCGAACGTTTTCGGTTGCCTGTAAACACACCCGACGCACGTCTGCAGCCGTTTTTGCCCCTACCCCCTGGCACATATCTCGGTGTATACCACACCATAATCTCCGATCCACTAACGCATTCTACGTATGTACTAACCGAACGAGCAAAACAATGTGTAGTCTTTATAATTTTAATAAATATTATAATAAATGTTTGAAGAAAATAATTAATTCTTTCGATATACTAACCGAATTAAAAATTTCCAAATCCTAGTTTAATTTTCGTTCGTACATTATATACCACGCCAATAGTGTATTGGATGCTGTATTAAAATTTGTTCAGTTTAATTTATTTTAATTTTTCTTTCCTTCAGGTCATCTCGGCCTGTCGTAAAATATTCCTTATATAATATTAATATTGAGCCGCTGTACTCATCGGTACATAAGACGTTACCACAAGAAGTTTGGTTTTATGTTTCATGAACGATTTCTCGGCCCGTGATCTCCGTGGCGTATGCGTAATAAAAACCGGTACGAGACGTATTAATAATCCTAAATCCTATAATCGAATGATCGATCTCGCAAATTTGAGTACCGCACATGCTGCTGTGTCGTAGATAGAGTGAAAGAAGAAAGTATTAATGCATAATATCGTTCTTTTTGCGCTGCAATGTTCTTTGTCATATGCCGGTTACACTACAATCGTAATAAAAGATGTCGGCTATTATGTGATGAAATATCATATTTTCTATATCCGTACAACCCGAGAAATATGTGCGATGAATTACCATTGAAAATCATCATTTTTTTTAAAAAAAAAATTTAATTTCACAGGTAATTTGAAGTTAATTATGCAAATAAGTTGGAGAATTATGTTATGTTATCTCGTACTGATAATAACATTGGCAGTACTGTTAAGTTTTTCGGGATTAACTAATATTTCAATTCAAAACTTATCTGAATTATTTTACCAAAATTTATCCGTAAAATTGTACGAAGTATAAATACTTTCGCAATGAATGAATAGTTTTACTATACTGTACGTCTAGATGAGTTTTTATATACAATTTAATTTATATCGAAATTGAGCACGTTTATCATTTTAAGTTAGAAGACTAATGAACTATTTTTTAATAAATTAATGGCTCATGTTTGATAGATTTAGTTTTTCAATTACGTATTTGTGCGTCCTAGAATCAGGTACCTATTAGAATCAAATATTCTATTAGTGACAATGTAATAAAATTAGTTTCAAAATTATAAAAAGTAAGTGGTAGATGTATTTTTATTTTTCTAAACATGTGTAATACTGCGTTTGTTTGGAAATCAAACTACAACTAAAAAAATAGAACACATTAATAATAACTGAGTAGCACAAAGTATATATACGTTAAAACTATTACCGAAAGTAATTATTACGATAGTCGTTTTTATAAATCAACTATTTATACAATTTGCATGCAATAGTGAAACTACTAATAATACCTCTCGGGATAGAAAAGAAATACGAATAATATGCAAACATTGTTTCAAAACAATCAAGTGACTTAAATTCAAATAATAAATGTGTATCACAGAGAGGCCTAGTCCCTTGCATCACGTATTGTATATATACGAATATGTATACAAAATACTGTTTTATTAGAGCATAAATAGGACACAGATTGTACTTTCAATGGTTTCAAATAAATGTAGAGTTAATCAACTCATTATCAATTTTACTCATTAAAATCTAAAATTCAATATATTATATTAGTTGCATACCAAAATTATTATAAATAAAATAAATAGAAATAATAAAATAATAAAAAAATTTTACATGAAGGACTACGAAATAAAACAAGAGAAGAAGTTACAGATCAAAACGCATTTAAATGCTCTATAAATATTTTATAATATTCATTAATATAATCGAAGTAAGAAAATAGTTAGCGTGTAAGTTTTTAGAGTTTAGATATTAATTTAGAATATATTGAGTATAGGAAATAAAAACTCAATTAATTTCCATTTTATATTTAATATGCTTTAAATAAAACAAAAATATGTAATAAAAAATTAAATATAGTATTTTATGAAATTTAAAATTTATAATTTATCAATGTGTAAAGAAGACATAAAACAAAAGTTAATCATTTTTAAAACAACTAAAAATAAGAATGTGTTTTAATTATACCTTAAGACTTATTTCAATCTCATCTTTAAACAATTTAAATAATTATTTTAGACTGCAGATATATATGTTATATGTATATATATAATACACTTATATGTCCTCGACTGTTAATGAAAAAATGTATCATACCAATTTTATTTTTAATTTTATATATAAACTTAAATTTATATGAAATAAATTAAAAATTTTATTAGTTATACTAATAAAAAGCATTTAGTTACATAATATAACGGAAGACATTAAAATATTTCATAAAACACGTATAATACATATTAATAAGGATTAAAAAATAACTTCATTGAATACTCTCTGTTATAATGTAGAAGATATAACACATAAGAAATCGTATTTTGGTCATATAAATTCAAATAATCTTCATAAATTCAAATAATACACTTAGTATAGTTTTGGGAACTCATCAACATTTAAATATGTTCAATTAGTCAATAAATAGCATTTTATATATATAGTCAAATAAGTTGTATTGTGACAATTATAATAAGTATAATTTATCTTTCTTCTTGCTCTCAATCTAAAATAATTTATAGGATTTTTACGTCATTGAATTACGTATTTTAACTTGACATTGTTATTATTATACTGCACTACGTATAATCATGTAATACTATGTTGTTTTTTAAAAGTTGTTTCGTCTTGATTTTGTTTAAAAAAAAAAAAAAACACGAGCAAAAACAATGACGGTTGAAGACAAACGTGTAAAGTTTTTTTAATAAAAATATATTGTGATTATCATTCATACCAACTAAGTACTTAAATATGAATACACATATCTAATTTAAATATTAAGCATTTTGTCGAAAATATTATACCTACAAATCAAGGTATAGTATAATATATTATGTATAAATTGATGAATAAAAATGTACATTATACATATTTTCCTTTGAAAATTATTTGAATCTAGGTTGTTTTTTTTATATTTATATAAGCGTATATAATTTTAAATAATAATTGTTTCAGTACTAAATAAATAAAAAAAATTGTATTTTGTGTAATCAAAAAATTATAGCTTATTGAGATGTTTTTCATATTATAATAACAAAAAAATAACAATGAATAAGTGATTTATTTTCTTTTTCATGTGTAAAATATTATGTTTTAGAAATTATTTGGAAAAATAAAACTCAATCATCTTAATTTATTCACTTGTAGCTAATTCTTAATAATAATCATTTTTCATTTCATTTCCAAAGATTATAAAAAATTGTTTAAAATATCCTTGCGATTTGAATCTAGTAATTTTTTATAATTTGCTATTTTAAGTGTTAACAGGGAAATATTATTAATTAAGATCAACAGCCCACTAAAAGTCCAAAATAAATTATGATTTCAGCAATGAACCAAAAGATGAAAATCTAATCTGTCTATACCTCTACGATTAAGCATTTATGTTGATTTAAATATTTAAATATTATTATAAACAAAAAAAACCTTTTAATAAAAATATAATACATTTTATTTAAATATCATTGGATTCATAATATTCCTCAGGGTAGTGATCTCTCTCCTATACTTTATAATATCTATACCTCTGATATGCCCACTTCCAATCAAACTTTCCTCGCCACATTTGCTGACGACACAGCAATATTTGCTTCAAATAATGACTCAAACACCGCTTCACACAACTTACAATTGCACTTAAATTTAATTGAATCTTGGGCAAACAACTGGAAAATTAAAATTAATGACAATAAATCCGCTCAGGTTAATTTTTCCCTTAAGAAAAAAGAATGCCCCACACTCAAATTTAATAACAAACCAATTCCTCTTCATCAATCAATTAAATACTTAGGTATCACTCTAGACAAAAGGCTAAACTGGGCAGATCATACAAAAAATAAACGTAAACAACTTAACTCCCGCCTCCATTTACTCCGACCTCTTCTAAAATCAAAAATAAATCTCAAAAATAAAATATTAATTTACAAATCTATCATAATACCAATATGGACCTATGGTATTCAAATTTGGGGCCCAGCGAAACCAGCTAACACCCGTCCCATCCAAGCCTTTCAATCCATCTCATTAAGACTCTTAACCGGTGCTCCGTGGTATATCACAAATTCAGCTCTACATAACGACTTAAAACTTCCAACAGTTAATTAACTTGCTAAAAGCTACTATAAAAAATTCCATTCCAAATTAATTAACCATTCTAACCCCTTTATTAAAAACATGTCTTCTCTCACATTACCTCTTAATATTCCTCGACGGTTAAAAAGAAATTGGGCTAAAGACCTTCTAATCTAAAAAAAAAAAAATTTAAAATAAAAAAAGTAAAATAAATTTCAATGCCCGAACTCAATTTTTTGAGGTTCTGTCACTGGACAGTCTCCTCTTCATGTATTTCATGTCTTCTTTAATCACTATCATCATTGTTACTTATTGTTTTATGTGTAAACAGATTGTAATCTATTTTTAATAAAAAAAAAAAAAATAAAAAAAAATATTCTTCACCTTATAATTTAAATAAGCTTTTCATTTATTCTAAAATACTTATAGTTAATGAAATCCAAAGTTTGCTGGAATTAAGTGACTCGTTGTTCATCGAAATGACACCTCTCTCTTCAGTTTTCGAGCCCAAGTTTCCAGTCATAGTAGATTTGTCTGTTTTAATATGTATTACGAGTACTTTTGTTTATTCATTGCGATACCAATTGTTTGGTTTGTATTAGAATAGTGAAGTTCGACGACGGTTTATCATTCTCCATATTGTTTAATTCGTGATTATATTAGATTTGCTGAACTCATTTTTTATTATTATGATAAAAATTACTAGGTAACGGTTATTATTAACATTTGTTTAATATAAAATATTTAGTATTATTGTCCTAATTATTTGGAATTCATATTACTACCATACGCTGGCAGATACGAATACGATAACTGAAACTTTAGTAGAAGCTCTTAAAGATTCAGTCGAAATGAACGCAACTGAAGAAGAATCGAATGTTCCTGAAAACGTTTTTGAAGAAAACAATGAAGACAGTGAAGAAGATAGCGATGTTGACATTGTTGTAGTAAATCGACATTTTTCTTTATCGTCAATAATGGAAGACATTGAAAGTATGGGCACTAAAAATGGTGTTCATGCTCACGAGTATTCTATTGGAACCACTAAAGGAAAACCATGGTTAAAACCTGGTGCTGATATTAATGATTATTGTAGCTACGGCTTTAATGAAAGCACGTGGTTAGCATACTATGAACATCAAAAGAAAAAACGTTGTAATGAATCATTGAAAAATGGAGATTCTTACAAAAAATTAAGACCTGATTTGGCAAGAAATGAAGAATATTATGTCTCCCGTTTTAAAAAAGAAACAGAAGATCGAGCATATGAACGAGAACGTGAAGGTCGTAATCGATACCGTGATGGAGAACCTGATAGGGATAGGGAACGTAGTAGATACAGAGAGAGAGGGGTTGAAAGTCCAGAAAAAACCAATAAAGAAGCTAGAAAATATAAACACAAGTCTCACCGTCATCGTTCTAGAAGTACTCATGATAAACGTTCTAGGAAACAAATATCGAAATAGGAGTGGGTACATTGTCGAAAAATAAGAAAAAGAAGTCTGAAAAAACAATGAAGATTATAACAGTGAATAATTTATACTTTTTCTGATGTAAATTTATGCTATTACGTATTCTATACGTATATTCTATAAATATTATTTTCACATAATCTCCTTAAATTGTTAATAGTAATTAAATGGTCATTGCAAATGATTTGTGTTGAACTAGTGTTAACCTAAAGTCTATATTTCAATAAAATTAAACATGGAAAATTAATGATTGTTAAAATTTAAAATGATAAATATAAAACCCTAAAAAATAATACATAAATTAATATTCAGTACTATTAGTAAATATATAATTGTATTTATACGGTTAAAGCATTGTTTATCTTTTTATCAGTTTTATTTTTTTCTTGGTAAGTATTTACATATACTATAAACCTGCGGAATTCGTTACACCTATGCTCTAAAAATCAGATGCATTAGTCCAATTTTCAATTGAACATGGACACGGGGGTTTCACTATGCCGTTTTGTTCGCTCGCTAAATCGGTTTGACAGTGATCAAGTGGTCATTATATGGTAGATGTTACCAAAAAAGGCAACAATGTTCAATGATAAGTCAAATAAGCTTTAGGGTGTAAGCTCTATATTACATATGATTATTTATTTAATCAATTTCGATTAATTCGAACAATTTTATTTCCTTTCAAAATTATGTAGCAACTTGACTTTTTCTCTTCAATAGTATTTTAAATGTGATAGCAATATCTTATATATTTATTTTGTTATGAAAGATCTATTTTTGATAAAAGTAAATACACGAATACAATTCATATTTTATGGAAAAAACTAAAAAAGATTACAATTTAGTATGAACAGTTAGACAATACTTGGCGTGAACTGTAAAGAGATTTAATGTTTGCATTTATTGCTTTGTAACTTTGTAAGTTTGATACTACTAATCTTTTTATTCATATTTTTAATAAATAAATCATAATGAAATTATTAAAATTTCATTTATGTGTATCTTTTTTAGTTAATAAATTATTAAGTGTTTATAATTAGATGTTCTATAGTAAAACTTATGACTATCAAACACGATCGTTTAAAAATAATGTAATTTCAGGAAAAATACTATGTTATACATATTATGAGTAATACCTATTTAATTTAAACGTAAATGATTGTCTTATTTTTTTATTTGAACAAATAAGGTAATGTTAGAGTTTATTTAGGACTTATTGATTTAGAACATATTTGTTTAGGTTTTCTTCGAATGTATAAAAAATTCTTTTTAACATTGTTTTACTCTGGAAAAATTCTTCCTCTTCCAAAGGGCAATCTAAATTTTATAACTGCGTAATGAATATTTATTTTTGTTTTTAATTATTGACACATTAATAAGAAAAACCTCGTTATTTTAGTAAAACGATAAAAAATATGATTTAGTTGATGCTTATCAAGTTGAACTGTATTCACTACAGCTACTGCTGCAGAAATCGAGTTTTTAATCAATAAGTACTACATTTTATTTATGAACAAATTGAAACTCTTTTAAATATAAAATGTTAATTATTCATTTTTAATTTTATTAAACTTCATTATTATGAATAAAATATAAATACAAAAAATGAAGATGTAACTCAACCGCAGTCAAAATATGTAAACTATTTAATAACCATTTGATTGATTTTAAGAGTCCAAGATACTACCTAATTATTCGTTAATCAAAAGTTTATTAAGAATTTTTTCATTAAAACTAATTTTTGTTTAATTTATATTTACGAATAAAATATAATTTGATGTTTACTTTAATTAGAATGGAAATAAAAACAATTACGTAAATACATTTTTAATAATTTTATGAGAATATTTTAAAAAACCATAAAGGTCAATTAATGAATAAGTTTTTTAAGAATAAATTAAGATAAAATCATTTTATCAAATTATTATTTCTATTTATTGACGAATCAATGTACAATAATTTTCAATTTACTAGATACTCATTAAAAAAATTAAAATCAATTCATTGAAATGTAAAATATTTATTAAATAAGTATTTATATTTTACAAAAAGCAAATTTATAATACATTAAATTGCATATTTCACACAGCTGCAGAAACAATTTATCACCACTTAAAAAAAATAAAATTTTGAAAAAAACTATTTAATATTAAAAAATAAATATTTTAATATTTAATAGTACAGTTGTCAAATATATGGGAAAGGTATTTCATTATGTACCCTTCGAAATATACTTAATAATTCTTGTTCTATAAATTTTCAATGTTTATACATTAAAATTATGGATGAAGTTCATGCACTAAAAACTTAAAGAATATCAATGAATATTTTACTGAATACTATACTAATATTGAATATTTGCCCATTGAATCATATAAAAAAAAAAACAATTTTTTTTATTCTTCATTACAAAAATATCATTTGCAAATTGTTAACTACATGTATTGAGTGCTATTAAACTTTTATTTCATAAATAATTTGCTGAAAAATAAAAAAATTCATTAATCACTAAAAAGTTAAAATACGAGTAATAACAGTAAAAATATAAATTATAGAATTATAAAATCGATTTTTTCATTAAGTCATATCGACGACGCTCATTGAATTTTATAATGTGACAACTTAAAAAATTCAAAAATTAAAAAATTAAATAAAATTTAAATAAATAACAATTCAATTTTAATAATTATTCAAACAAGTAATAAAGAAAACGCCCTTACAGTCCAAGTTAAAAAACAAATTTACTCCAAACTCTATAACTATTCACCACTTCTCAAAAAACATCCTTAAGGTCTCTATATGTACTATGAAGTTTAACTCACGATTTACACTTGTAATAGTTCATTATTATTATATTAATTTATTTATTCATTTTTTATTTATTTATTTATTGACAGATAAAATTTCATGTAAATTGAACCAAATTTGTTTAAAATTATTTTATAGTATACATAGTAGTCCAACATTAAAATCCAATCTTATCATTTTTGCTTGATATATTGAAAACTGTTTAATGGATATGGAACTATTTGTACTTATACTTTGGCTTCTAATGATTCATTATCATTTATTTTTGTAAGATAAACCAAAAAAAAATTGAAATATACATAATTGTATTATATGTCATTTTATTTATTCTTTTTTTAATTATTTTATGTATCTGTATTAAATGAATCACATTTAATGTTTTCTATGAACGCTGATTGACTAATGTACAATATCTATCAACTATATAATCATTGTATAATATACTCTTTACATAATATATTGATTATGATGAAGACTGGGATTTTAATGTTCTAAAAAATAACGAAAAATATTCAAGAAAAGAAAAATTGCAAAAATGCTTTAAAAACCTTAAAAATGCACTATAAAAAAAATCTCAAAAATGTATTAATTATATTTCAAAAATTATATAATAAAAATCATGTTACTAAAAATATTTAATTATATTTATTTTACATAATAATAAAATCCCCCTAGGGGGTTATGCGGAATTAACACTGAAGATTAAGCAAATCCGGGGCCTCGAGCTCAACTGAACTTACTTTAATCAGTTGATTCAGTTCTATTTATTTTGACTTTAATTGGTTTAAATAGTCTTGTATGGAAAACACTCTGATTACCAGGGCTAGGATTTGTATGTAATAAAAAATTGTAAAATATGCATTTTATTTACCAAAATATGCAAAAATATGCATTTGAATTTTTATAAGATAAACACAAAAATATAGTTAAAAAAAAAATATTTGTTTATTGAAATACATCAGTGGTTGGATTTTTTTCTTAACCCTAAAATGCATGATTTTTTTATTTTTTATTTTTTTATTTTTTTTTTGGGTTGTTATATTAGTCATAAAGAAGTATAAATTATTTAAAAAAAATTTTGGTATTTTAAGTCTCTAAAAAACCAATTTTTTAATTTGTCACCTGTGAGCAATGCTATGTATTTACGTACAACATAATTATTTATTAAATTTATAAATGTAATTTATCCATATACCTATCTTGAAAAGTTATATCGTTTATTCATTTAACTATAAATTTAAGAAAATAATTGATTAACTTACCAATTACAAAACAAAAGTAATTTAAGATAAATTTTATGTTTGACAAAAAGAACCAAGTTTTATACTTTAATCAGCAGGTCTAGAATTAAATACGAAATATTAATATTAAATTATAAATATTAATAACAAAATGTACTATAAACATCAATTTTTCGCATTCTTATAATCAAAATATGCAATAATATTCATTTTATTCAATATATGCAATAACATGCATTTTATCTAAAATATGCAAAAACATGCAAAATAAAAATATAACCATGTATCTCATCATGAGGTGATTCGTGGACATGACTGACAAAATCAATAATCAGAAGTCACAAAAAAAACATGCTGTTACATACATAACCTATCCCTGCTGATTACAAACAACAACAGCACTTGCCTCGTATATTGGACATATCGGATATAGCAATTGGATCCTGGAATATGCGATCTCTATATAGGACCGAAATTTTGACGACAAATACATTCTCAATGATATAAGTTAGCATAGCCATTCCGAGAGGAGGGGGGGGGATAATTGGGACAAGTTCCTAGGGAGTTCAAAGTATTATGAATTTAAGGGACATCATAAAAATGAATGATAATAAGAAAAACTAGGTTTTTTATTTTAGCATTAAGAGCATTTATTTTTCATTAATACTGAAATACCTGAGTACCCATAAAATTGTACAACAAATATCATTAAATATGAAATTATGTGAATAATGTCATTAATGTGTTACATCAGGGGTCGGCAACTTTTTGAACTACGTGGGCCATATTTTTTTCAAATGTTTATCAAGGGCCACATTAAAAAAAAATTTTTACATATGATATATACTAATATTTGTATTGCTATTATATTTGATTATTTTATATAGAAATATGAGTGTAAAAAATACGAATTTTACTGGAAAAAATTACTTTTAAGAAAAAATT